TCATACCAGGAGCTGGGACCCCGTGGGTCGACCGGCCCGGCTGGCCCGTAGTCTTGACTGATGAGTCTGCTTTGAAAAGTTAAAAAAAAAAAAAAGAACGGTGACAAGTCGGACACGAATAACGAGATGAACTGGTCATGTCTCCCTCTCCTTGGTCGAAACAACGTTCCCGTTCATCGTCTGAGGTTTCGCCATCTTTCTCGTCCTTCTTCTGAGCCTATTTCAATTCGTGTAAATGTTCATCGGCCAAGTTTTTTTTCTCTCTCTCTCGAGCTCTTTTTTCCATCTTCCGAAATGTCACCGGTTCACCATGATGGATGGTGCTTAAATCCGGCCATTCGTCTTCATTAGCACGTGTGGTGGTACCCGTGTGGGGGAGGTACAGAAATGGAACACCGAAAGCCCCCCCCCTCGGAGGCCAAACGACAAGTTTTCGAATGAACATCACATTTTTGGGGGGAAAAGAGGAAACAAACGTTGCTCATCTCAAATTCGTCAATGTGGCCTTCTGCAGGATAAGACTTCGGCCTAAAGTATATAGGCCTGTCGCCAACACATTCATTTGGGCGAAGGCTTAATTGTTTTCACAACCAGGCTGCAGCCTGTTTCAACCCGCACACCGATTTTCCTGACGACGAAGGGCGCACGCTGTCCAAAATCTTTGAGCCTTTACCAGTGCCCTTCAGAGCCTCATTCACTTACAAAAAAAATTATGTGCTGTCGTCACGCTGGTGCATGCGCCATGCAAACCATGAAAAAAGGCTCTGAACACGTTTCGTTTGTCCAAAGCCAACAGTGACAAAGTCTCGAATGGGGCCTGCAAAAATAACACTTCGCTATTATTGTTTTACAGTTCCATCAAAACAAAAACTTAACTGGCGGTGTTTAATTAATACGCTGGACTTTAAGCCGCGCGTGTGACTACATTCGACGAAAAACAAAATGGTCTTCAAGACGAAACCAACTGAACTTGGAGTCACCCTCCTTCGGCGTTTATTCTCGAACTGTACAATACTCCGCTCAGATAGCATGAATTATGATCAACAATCAAACTGGAAACGGCTTCCCTTTCCCGGACAATCGTTGAGTGTTTTTTGGCCTTTAATCTGATAAGTGTAGATCCGGACCTCACAAATGTGTACACGTGACTGTTTACTTGTCAAGAGTGGATACACGTGTGGACACACGGAACAAAGAGACTACAATAAAAAAAAATGATTTCGGTTTGCCGCATGAAACGGGACACCTGAAGAATGACAGGATTGACACCAGTGGCGCCCTCTGTTAACAGATGCCTAAGACACAACTATTTATAGAAAAGGGGGTTTTAGCGCACCTTATCATGAACAGATTTACTGCGGCTTGGAGATAAGATCGGTTTCTCAGGCGTGAAATGCTACTCATTTTCCAGAAGTGGCACACCGACATTTCTGCCTATAAATGTCTAACTATGTCCGGCAGAGGGCGCTTTAAGCAAGCACGCTATCGATTAAAATCGAGGGAAAAAAAAAAGAACTCGACAATTCGCGCGGTTAATAACGCAATAATACTTGATGTGATTTACGGCCGATGGGGGCCGGAGGTAATTTCCGTTAGGAAGCTTTTATTGCTGTCTCCTATCTCTGTCTCTCTCTTTCTCTTGTCGCTGTGTACAGGCAGGGCGTCCGGTAGGTCTGGTTCCCGCCGCGTGCAGCCCAGGACTCGCGAGGCGTGTCAGCCGGCGAGTTGACAGATGCCTTCATTACACAGCACGACGCCCCACGGCGTACGCCGTTTAGGGATGTTCTTTAATGGCGAAGACAGTTTTACAACCTTGCTCGAGTCTCTGCAAAATGCCCGGCTTCATCTCCATTATGCATGATCACAGTTACATATAGCAACATCACTCCACAGATCAGTCTGGCTGATGGCATAAAACGGCAGTCAACAGTTTCAACCGAATGCGTAAATATGCAGCTGGGTATGGGCATCAGTAGCGCTGACAGAAACAGCATAAAAAGGTGATACATAGGCCGAATCGACAATACGGGCGTTTCACAAAAGTGCGCCTCCAAGAGTTTTCAACGCGTTGACCAATCACGATGCGCGAAGTCTGTCGACCCAATGCACGTTTGGAAAGGGTAGACAGAGTTCGCGCGCTGTAATTGGCCAACGCGTTGCAAACTCTTGGAGGGAAATTCTCATAAATCGCCCGTGTTAGGTAAGGGGTGGTCCCATCAGATCAATATAAATTACTGAAAAAAAACTTGCTATGTTGCAAATTGCAACATGGCCACACAAAATTAAAACATACTTTACCCAAATCAGAGGTGAGGATAGTCAAATCAGATCAATGTTAAGTACTCGGGGAAAAAAAACTTCGCAGCATGGCTACACAAAATGAAGACGTACTTCAGTACACATGTACCACAACCTCTAGCTCTACAAGCAATCAGTGACCCCCCCTCAAAAAGTCTGACGTGGTTGTAAATTTGCACCATTATACTACCCGCCTGTCAAGCTTGCTTCACTCGTTAAAAGTCATGTTTAGTCCCGTCGCTTCATTATGTATGACAAAACACTTGTGGTGTAAAACCACCCAGCATTGCTACTCGTTCCGCTCTCCCTTGATGCTGGTAAACATTAGCGTAGCCTTCATATCGTGCATGTTCACTTGTAATCGCACTTTGCCCCTTGATTCCACTGTTGTGGTATCGAAACTCTCTTGTGATATCAAACCGATCATTGCTGGTGTCAATAATAAAGCAGCACTGCATTTAAAGGTTGTGTGTCTGGTTTTTTTTTTCAGCGCCTCCTATATACAGTCCCACTGTTACATCTTGTTCGGTCGAGATGTGTCCTCAGCACAGCGAAGAAATTATGGAAACCAGACTGCAGCGTGTCAGGGATAAGAAGCCTCTGCCACTTACAGCAGCGACACATTTACGGCCATAAATCTTTCGTGAGGCATTCATCGAGCGCGAGTTATGGGCCCGCCGCTGATAACCGTAATTGAGCGCTAACTGCATAATGTGTGTACGGGGCCCCGGCCACCGGGCCGTCCGTGTAAATATTGGGCGACAAAACCAGAGAACTTGAAAACTGGGCAATTGGAAAACGGCACTTAGTAGCGATTACAACATGTCCAAAAATCAGTTTTGCACTTGAGAGCGGGGAAATTGATGGCTTCGGCAATATCTACTCCCTTGAATGGGAAATACAAAAATAAAATAATGCACACTGAGGGTGGAAAAACGGACCGGGGGGGGAGATTGTCAATATCCTTCATGATTTATGTTCGGAACCTCTCTAGCGTTGTGATTTTTTAAAAAACTCTTTGGTCGTACAAGCTGATAAAACGAAATAATGGGGTTTTGATGGAGTGTGGCCAGATTCCTGTCTGCCACTTCGAATTCGTGTCATTGTCAACCCCATCAACGTCAAACCGATGTTTTCTGTTGTCGTTATCAACACCATTTGCATTGTGCAGTGAGTTATAACATGATCCAACAGTTCAGGCGCTTGTCAGAAAGTTTCACAAGAGTTGAAGGAAACCTCAGCCTGTGTGTTGCCCCGGGCATTTTTTGGCGCGCACAGCATCTAGGCAGCTGTGTGGTAAGTTTTGGATGATGGAAAAAAATGGGGCTATGTTGGCGTTACGGCATTATGGAGTGGGACTAATTCCGGTGATATATCAGCGAATCGTGGCTGCAATCCGGGCCGTCGAGTTGGAGTTCCAGGCCCCCTTAACTCAGCAGTTGTTAAAAAAGACGGGACGAAATAATCGCGCATTATGCCCAGGAAGGGAAAATACAGCTAGCAAGGGGGGAAAATAAGTGAATTATTAGCAAAGGAGTGTGCACTTTTTTTTTTAGACCGGTGTGCTATATTATTCATGAACCGAGTGCGGTGAGCCAATGGCGCGCCGACTGTGCCTGCCTCTTTCTCCGGCTACCCCAGGCCCCCGTGGCTTACACGGGGTCACTCTCGCCCGTCACTCGGCGCAGCGGATTATCGATGAGTGGGCGGAGCTTCGGTGGAAAAACAAAGCTGGCGATTGGGGCAGCGGGTAGCCGACGATAAAATAGCGGGTCGCAGGGACGTGCCTACTTACTGGTGCGGCGCAGTACAACAGCGAGGGGGTATTTTGTGTGTGTGTTGTTGGCGCTGGCACAAAAGGTTTGATTGACGGGTTGTTATCGACTAGGCGACGGGAGTATGTTTAATCAGTGGTGCTTTTTGGAGATTGGGTGCAGTAGGTCTACCCGCGATCACCTCACTAACATCATACCTCGCGCACCGCTCGTCGTGCCCTGTGTAGTCGCTAGCTCGAGCTTCTTTCATATACTCGCATAGTTTCGAGGCACATCGGCAGGCAGTCAGTCCGGAGATTTGTGATCAATGTGCCATGTGAAGTGTTCGTGCGGAGATCATAGTCTACCCGTCTGCGTTCTCACACGTGAACTTGTAAATCACTCATCGGGCGGACCTCAACAATTTTCTCTTTTTTTTCTCTCTCTTTCCATAGGATTTTTGACTGTTCCGTCGTACACAGCCGAGGGGCGCTCTGCTGATGTGCTCAACTGCGGTTCTTCACCATAATGAAAGCTGTGTATCGCAGCCGCTGTGACCGCTAGAGTTTGTGCTGAGAACTCGATCTCTCGATTTTTTTTCCATATCGCGGTGGTGCTGTTCGTCGTATTGATCGGTATACTGTAGCCGTTTCATTCCCTGCGCACACTGTCATGCAGGTTGGCTGAAGGACTCAGTACATGTACTACACCGTGCACCGTCAACACGCACACCGTGCTGTGATACTGTGGGGAGTTCTGTGTGTTAGTGTAAGCAGAACGAAGGTCGACACCGATAAGCTTCGAGGACTCTTTTTTTCTCTCTCTGTCTACACACACGGAGGCGGAAAAATGTAGCGCAGAGTGGCACATTACTACGTGAAAACATTGAGCTGATGACAGTGGAAGGCCCTCCAGGGATCTGGACAATTCAACTCATTCTGCCCACCACATATACAGCGGAGCTTCTAGGACTGGATTGTTTTCTTCTCTTTCTCTGCCCGTGCGTCTTGGATTTGTTACACTGACCACTGTGGGATTATGGCCTGCCAGCGCGAGGAGGGACGTCACCGTGGCGGCCGGGTGGATTCGGGCCGCGGTGACCCCGGTGCGGAGGGCCGACTCACCGGTGGTCGCGGTGGGGCGATCCCCGCGAGACTTCCGTTGCCGTGGACGGTGTTTACGCTTCTGGCGGTGCTGGTGGTGTTGCTGGCGACGGGTCCACCGTGTGCCCGGGGGCAGGATCACTTCGACGAGTTCAACCCGAAGCCGCAGCAGTGCATCCCCATCACCATTAAGCTGTGCAAAGACGTGGGCTACAACGTGACTCGCATGCCCAACCTGGTGGGCCACGAGCTGCAGCAGGACGCCGAGCTTCAGCTGCAGACCTTCACGCCGCTCATCCAGTATGGCTGTTCCGCCAACCTCCGCTTTTTCCTCTGCTCCGTCTACGTGCCCCTCTGCACCGAGAAGGTGGACATCCCCATCGGCGCCTGCCGGGGTATGTGCGAGCGGGTCAAGAACAAGTGCGAGCCGGTGCTGAAGGAGTTCGGCTTCATGTGGCCGGCCAGCCTCAACTGCTCCAAGTTCCCCCCACAGAACGACGCCCGGACCATGTGCATGGAGGCGCCGGAGCCGGACTCCGACCCAGGGGACCGGCCTGACAGGGGGCACGGAGGGGGTGGCATGCGCCCGATCCCCACCCTGCCCACCCCGGGTCCCAGCGAGCGGGACTGCCAGCACAAGCGGTCCCCGTATAAGTGGCATTACGTCAAGCGGAACGAGGAGTGCGCTCTCCGCTGCGACCAGAACCTCCTCTTCAACTCCAACGAGAAACACTTCGCTCAGATCTGGATGGCCATCTGGGCCAGCATGTGCTTCCTGTCCACCACCCTGACCGTGCTGACCTTTGCCATCGACCCCTCCCGGTTCCGCTACCCGGAGCGGCCCATCATCTTCCTGGCCATCTGCTACAGCGTCTACAGCATCGCCTACGTAGTGCGCCTGGTGGCCGGCTACGCAAAGATCGCCTGCGACGAGGACGGCGAGACCAGCTTCTTGATCAGCGAGGGCCTGGAGAACACCGGCTGCGCCGTGACTTTCCTCCTTCTCTACTTCTTCGGGATGGCCAGCTCCATTTGGTGGGTGTTCCTCACCTTCACCTGGTTCCTGGCCGCCGGGCTGAAGTGGGGCCACGAGGCCATCCAGATGCACAGCACCTACTTCCACTTGGCGGCCTGGGGGATCCCCTTCGTCAAGACCGTAATCGTGCTCATCATGCGGGTGGTGGACGCCGACGAGCTCACGGGAATGTGCTACGTGGGCAACCAGAACCTGGATGCCCTGACGGGCTTCGTGCTGGCCCCCTTGTTCACCTACTTGGTCCTGGGCACCCTGTTCCTCCTGGCCGGCTTCGTCTCGCTCTTCAAGATCCGCTCCGTCATGAAGAACGACGGCACCAAGACGGACAAGCTGGAGCGGCTGATGGTCAAGATCGGCCTCTTCTCGGTGCTCTACACCGTGCCGGCCACCATTGTGGTGGCCTGCCACTTCTACGAGCGCTCCAATCGGACGGTCTGGATTTTGCTGGGACTCACCCCCAATGTGGAGGTATACATGCTGAAAATATTCATGTCGCTGGTGGTGGGGGTCACCAGCGGCATGTGGATTTGGTCGGCCAAGACCTTGCTGTCGTGGCGGCGATTCACGAACAGTTTATTCCCGACCATCTGTGGAGGAAAAGCGGGCAACGTCTACGTGGGACCAGGTGGGAACGAGACAGCCGTGTAATATTTCTCATTTAACAACAAAACAAGATGCTTTAAACCAAAACAAATCCTTATTTGCTACTTTGTAAGTTATTATAAATATAGACGGTTTTATATATATTATTATTGTTATTAATAGAGATCCAACTCAATGCTAGCCAAACCATGCCTGTACCTGATAGCGAACTGTACTGTTGACCATAAGGTTCTATGGTTTAACCATGGCTAGGTCTGGGTCGTGTTTTGTACGGTATATTTATACAACTTGTTCCTCTGTTTGTCGGTAATTATATCTTTTTCAAAAAGACCAAGGAGGTTCCATTCGCTCAAGACTCTTCGGTGGTCCTTCACTCGGCTCACAATCAATCCCCAACTCTCTCTCTTTCAAAGTCAAAAAGGTATTAAGCAGTCTTTCCCTCTCTTGTGAGCGGACAATAGCCGGTGCGGACCCGGGAGTAAATACCGTTAAATGTGCCCCGGCCCGGGCATTGTTGTCCCGGGCCGCGGCCCCGGTATTGTCTTGCTCTGCCCTCCTGCTCCTCCGTCGTCCGAGTGAAGGGACCCGAAAGAGTGAAGCGAGTCGGAACAAATTAACATCAGTCTCTCCAACGGTCAATAGAAAGGGCATAGCAGATCCCCTGGCCACGGGACGCTAGCTGTCAAGTGCCCGTTCTAATCAGTCAGCTATCCTGCCCGCGTTGAGCCACTTATATCTACAGGTATAGGTTTTAACGTGCGGCCAATTCCACGAAATTATTAAACCCTTCAATTCCTTTTTTCCTGCCAGAACACAAAGCAAATAGAAACCATTTCAGTAACTCAGGCAGGGAAATGAGCTCAACTTCTTTTACTTTCGGTTATTAAACAATCCTAATTGAAAATCCGTAAATGTACAACTACAAGGCATCCGCTACAACTTGTTCAATACACCGCTGTGGCCATTGTGCGGATCCGCCCAACGTGTTACTGGAACTTACTCCAACTCGAACTTTAGAGCTGCTCTTTGGGTTTTTGAAAGAAATTTGGTTGCGATTTAATAAGGATAATGAACGGCCCTGAAAACTTTGTAAACTTTTTTTTCACCTCCCCAGATTTCAGGATTTACCACGAATTTCTGATTTGTAACTTGAGGGCTGTGATTTTTGTTCGGTTTCAATGTTTTCAGAACTGTGCTCAATTCCCGTTCATTTCTTTTGGAACAGAAACATTGCGGAAAGAGTTTGGGGCTCAACATGAATGTCGGATCAAATGGTTGGTATACCGGCGCATGTATAGGGTGCATTTTCGCTTCAGTTAGGAACAAAGGACATTATGTTGGTTTGCTTAAACGTTTTGTTTTAAAACCAATGCTACGTTGAAGTCATGAACCAATGACGTGTGAACCTGATTCAAATCAATGTGTGGCGCCATTTTCTCTAAGCCCCTTCCTCCTCAACATGAAGACACTCTCTGAACGTGACTGAAGAAATCTACTTGTTGGAGACTGACACTTGCCATTCTGAACAATGTTACTCGATTAAATATTAGTCGAAAATGCACCATGACAACGGTGCTCGTGCCTGTCGGGAGTTTCCTCGCAAGAATCTCCAGAAACCATTTTTTTTGGGGATTGATGATAATGATGACAAATCAATGCCCCAATTCAAAGGCACCTGCCGATATTAGAAGAGAGCAAATCTGGCGTCAAGAATGCCACACATTTATACTGGAATTGGAAAGGGTTTCGATGAGGCATGCTTACATGAACGAGAAGGTAAATTTTCTAGATTCATGACATAGTGGAAGATACAAAATGTGATATGTGTTTTTTCTCTTTTTCCCTCCCAGATGTATCAATGCACTGGAAAACAATGGTTTGTGTGCCTCGGGTTTAGCTGTTTAGGCTCCAAACTGTCTCAAAGCCATCCCTCCTGTACCGAACTTTAAACTGAACTTGAGAGTTCAAACCTTGATGGGACTTTACAAGTTTTTGTTAACCGTTTTTGTCTTTAAGGTTCAATGTTGTTACTAAGTAACGTTCTCGTTTTACTTCCAAATTAAATTGTATATTGTTAAGTCCCCGTTATTCGAATACTAATACAAAATGTTGAACCCTGTTCCAGATGGTTTATTTTTTGTTAAGCTTTTAAGAGAGTTACCGGCTTATGCACCTGCTAATTTGATCCCTGAATAAGGCCGTGCTAAGATAGTTAATGATTTGACTTTATGGTAAGCAAGACAGAACAGATCACGAAAAGTTGGCTTCAGGATCAATTGTGAAGGAAATTATTGTACTTTCTGAAGCACCAAGGCGTCAGAAATATTTGCTAAGCAAGAACAGGTTACCAGTCATTCTGCCACACGCAATGTACGCCTGCTTGTGATTGGTGCCCGGCAGATTTTTTTGCTGAGCACTTTTTGTGCTACAGGTCATTTGAAATTTGCCCTATGGCAACACAGGCCTGGTGACCTGTTCATGTCGAGTGTAATTGACTTTGCGTGGTCAACGAATTAAGGTTACCAGCACCGAAAATTTGTGTTTTCATGTGTCATTCAAGGTGTGCTTCTCCGACCTGTAATCGACAACTTTCAAATTGCCACATGCAGTTCTTATTACCCCAGACCTCTGACACTGTATCGTGATTCCTACCTTGTTTAGTTTTAACATGAGAATGCATTATGCATCTGTTCCTAGAACTTTTTTTGGGGGGGGGATGGGAACTCACGAAACCGTTCTTTGCGAATGATCGAAATAACCGTGGATCTCTCTGGTGATGAGCTGTTCTGAACTTGTGGAAATCAATAAACGTCAAGGCACGCTTTCTTTGAATTACAGTTTGTCAAAATGCCACTCATGTTTTTATAGTTCTCTTCAAGGGAAACTTTACGCTAGGTCCTAGCAGTACGCTGGGGCTCGCGTTGCATGGAAGTCGTTGTGTGAATCGGGTTATGCACATAATTATTACGATATTTCGATCTTGCAGGTGATATTTGTCAACTAAGATTTTGTAAGCCGCCTCTGACAGCGTTATTGTTAATCTACATTTACTCGGCCGTTGCTTTATGAAAAGACCTTCTTAATGCAAACTCACAGAATACCAAAAGGCCCGTCAAATATTATAAAGGTTCACTGAAGCTGATGAGAGATGTTTTTGGTTTCTCTGATAATCTATTCTCCAAAACACGCCACGCTTTCCACCAAACACTGCATAATGGTTATAGAGACGGGCCTTACTTCATCTATTTATTCAGAATCGGTCCCGCCTTCGTGTTTGCCTCCCCATAGTATAATGAGATCGGTGTTGACGGTTCGGTCAACACAGCCCGCACTTTCGGGCTATATGCGTGCAGTTTCATAATCATTTCGAAAACGTCTTTGCCCTTCGTCCGGAGAGCCGGCGATAATCTTGTGTGCCAGTCAGGGCATACCCGAATCGCCAGGCCGTCACCCCGTCGGCCAGGTATGCACAGCTGGCTCTACTGCTGTGCTGTATACGTGCCCACTGTCCAGCTCAAATTCAAAACAAGACTCTTTATTTTGCTCTGCTGCTATTGCGCGACATTAATACAATGGTCGCCCCCTTCGCGCCATCTTTCGCGCGCCGTGCCCGCTCCGTACACAAGACGGTCCCTTGGCTGTGCGCGCTGTTTGAACAAGAGATTGCTAATTTATAAGTTCGTGTGTGTACTTTGTGATTAAAGCCCAACAAAGGGGGGGGGCGCGTTGACCTGACCAACCCGCTACATAGTGTGGAATGGTGCAAATATTGAAGGCGGGATGATATGAGAGAGAGAAAGAAAAACCCTCAACCACTTCATAAGTGGGGCTCGCTATTACTAGTACTTGAAGAGACCTCATGCCTGCCGCATTTCCATCCCTTCAATCTGCGCCAATAAACGCCATTCGCGCCCCACGGGCGTCGCTCAGAATTGATCGTGTTTGAAAGGTGGGGGTCAAAGATCAAATTGGGGAAACTTTTTTTTTCTCTGCGCTTTCTTTCTCTTGTTGAAGGGGGGGGAGTGGACGGTTTCGGTACACGGCGTCGTGTACAGCGAGTGTGTGTATTGACTCGCATGCGGCGGTCGAATAAAATTTCCATAAAGCATTATCGCGCAGCCACCTGCTGTCACTTCAAAGCCGTGAATTTTTATGGGAATGTTGACCGACAGCCCCCCTGAAAAACCTTTGTCATCTTTTGAGGAACTAGACTTATTTTTTTTTGGGGGGGGGTATCATTGAATCGTAGTAAATTATTATTGTTTTATAGGTGTATTCAAACTCTTATGTTGTTTTGAACGGGATTATATTTCCTCGAGTGATCTTTAAATGTCCATTTATTGTTTCCATCCACCGCATTTTATGCGACATGTCTAAGCCAGACCTCTAAGTTACGGAAGCGTATTGCTGCCAACGCGAAAACATTATTTTACCTCGTTTAAACGAATTAGTTATCTCATTTAAACGACTTAGTTATCGCGTTGAAACGAGATGCTTAGCCGTTTAAACAAGATAGCTTTGTCGTTTAAATGAGATGATAAGTCGTTTAAACGAAATAAATTTTTTTCGCGTTGGCAGCAACACGCTTCGGTACTAGGCAGACAAAGTGATATATATGTTAAAAAAAACTAGCAATGTACAGCACTCCCCTGAACAGAATTGGTTGGGGCAAAATCACAGGACTTGGATACAGTTTCAGCCCAAAAACATCGGGTGGAATTTCGGGTATACTGTTGTCCCTAAAACATCGGTTTGGGGAGAGGGGAAAAGTAAAATGAGACCAAATCGCCTTGAAACTGTGAGAAGCTTAAAATAACAATGCCCGAACGGGAGACGGGCAAACTTTGACAGTACAACCGCTGTGGAGAGGGGAAAAATAGTCCGGTGATAAAAAGCGCCTGTGCTCCGGGGCAGTCTGGTGAAAGTGGGGCCTTTTATCTCCCCCCCCCCCGTCGCATTGAACAGAGGTCTGGTATGCTATGGGGACAAAAAGCAGTGCCAGGGGGGACGTGCGATTTCCCACAACACCGAGAACGGGACTCGGAGCGCTCCGGGGCCCGCTTGCAAGCCTGCTGACAACTCGGTCTTGGAAATTTGAGTTTCGTTTGCCCACGGTTTGCCGGAGGTTTTTTTTTTTTTTCAACCATTTTGTTCTGGTGCGGTCGGCGATGCTTGTGCATTATGATAGCACACCACGGCCAGATTTCCAATCAGAGCAACGGGAGATTTGGGCGATACGATCTCCCTCAACCGTCCAGCAAGAATTTCCAGAGAAACATTTTTTTTTGGAGGGAAAGGGGGGGGGATCGACTGGGAATCAGCTGCCGCCAGATTTCTCTGACCGACTCATTTTTTTCCCCCTTCTCCCGACGACTTTCTCCTTCTTGGCTACGGGGCGAGAGCCATGTTATTTTTGGCCGTCCATGCGTGATTATCGCGGGGGACATGTTTGGACAGTGCGTGTTCTGGCTTGGTGACGGAAATGTGTTCCGACAGCTCGCGGTGTAATGAGCCCTCCCGACGCCATCTTGGATTTCGTTTAACAAAGGAAGATTGGAACGACTCAAAAATACGGAGAGAGCGGCTAGCGGATGTTGACAGCTGGGCTCGTATAGAGCAGCAGCAGCATAAGTCATACAGTTGTGCATGTATAATACATGTGTAACTTGCATATTCCGCGTTACTGTAAAAAAAAACCATGAATTTTACAAAGCCAGGCAATGCGTCCTCTGACATATATTTCTCCGTGCAGGTACTGAAGTGAGTCTGTGATCTTAATAGGAGGTTGGTTTATTTTTAATTTTCTGGAGTTGGGCATGCAGATCTCGCTATCAGATCCATTTTCACGAATAATTTCAGACATTAGGCAGAGTGCCGGGCAGCTCATACCAGCAAAACTCTCAGGAACTAGTTAACGCCCACATATCACTTAGTCTAAATTCGCTGGTGCCCATCCTTTCCAACTGATGAAGTTCCACAGTGTGGCGAGAAAAATTAACCAATCAGAAATGCCTGTGCGTGCGTTCCCTCATGCCTTGTTTTAGTCTAGTTCCCAGGCCCGACGACCCCCTACGACTTGGGAGTCCTGGGCAAGGAACCAGGCAGAAATGTCGAGGGGATTCTCCCAAGAGTCCGAAATCAGACTGTCACAGCAATAAGCGGATTACGGCAGATAACATTTCTTGCTGGAGCATGAAAAAAAGGTAGAAAGGGAGGAGGGATAGTCTAATCGGCTTAAACCGACGAGTGTGTTCGCACGGCATCTGAGCCGACCCAGATGCACCAAAACGCAGGCATAGAAAAATAATTATTACAGACATAGCACGCCAGACCCACCAGACGTGACTAATATACATATATGTATATTAAGAATCGAGATATTTATCTCCGTGCTGAGGGGAACTGTCACTTCGTGTTGGGGGAAATTGCTTTTGAATTTTTTCTTTTTGTATGTGTGCGTGTGGCGGTGAGGATTGTACCGTTGTTACGAGTCGGCCAGACGTCATGAGCGTGTGGATGTGGAATAAGACTCGTTCGGTCGATTGGGCGACCTACATCATGTGCACGTTAATGGACTCGCTTTTGGAGACTAGCGCTCAAAGAATCAAAACCATCTCAAGCCAACATGAACAACTGATGTGTGTCGTGTGCTAAAGAGAGAGAGAGAGAAAAAAAGAAGAAATGAAATGAAAAATACGAAAGGCGGTACATCAAAGACAATATTTGTAGGTTGCACGCTAGCGCATCGGCCCTTGTGCTTAGGCATAGTAACCACTGTGGGAAAAATGGGGGCAAATATCGAAATCAAATCAAGAGAGACCGGCATAATAAAGTGTCTCCAGCACCATGCTGTAAAGGGAATTTGGGAAACAAATGATATACCGACCGTGCTTTATGTTGTCGACATTTTATTGAGGAAATTCTGCGGGATTTTTTGAGGTAACGTTTCTTTAAAAGAGGGAACCAGGCCGTCGTTTATATTTTTGAGATAAGAACTTTGTTGGAAATTTTCTCCAACTGAAAGACATGACTTGAGGAGAAAGAAATGAACCTTCCATCAGCATTTCTATCGCGCGATGGCATTTCGTACATGAAGCTCAACTTCCATCTTTGAAACTCGAAATAAGCGAACTGCCGAAAACTGCAAATCAACCCGAGACCTACTGAAGTAGTGCAGGGACCTTTGCAAGCTGGAAATCAGCGACTGTCAGCCGCTGTCATATCCTCGGAAATGCATATTGCTGACCTCGCCGGTCCCAACGGACACCGAATAGAAAGCAACTCGTCACCCGTCCGACATCCTATCCTCGCCCGCTGGCCCTGCCCGTCTTTTTTCGGTCTGTCCCGGGTGAATGCAACTTCATCAAGACCCTTGGGCTTCCGTGCCGTAGTTATTTTGGCCTCCCTCCCTGAATACTCCTTGATGTCGACTCGGTGAATAGGGGGGCACAAGAGGGCAGCGACACTGCGGAGTTGGCACACGGGGGATTTGAGCAACAAAAGACGGCGTGGCTGAGGAGACGAGACAAGGTAAGAAGAGGGATGACACGGAAATAGCCGGCCCTTTATACTTGGGAGAAGGGGGGGGGGTAAATGGAAATGAAAAAAAGGGGGCTCTTTTGTGCGAAGAGGGACGAGGGGAGAGGGCCTTAAAATAATTGCCCAGTTTGGCCAGCCGTGAAGTGACCTGGCAGGCTGTGCTTGATGGAGTGAAAACTGCTACACCTCCCCAGACTTTGAGACGATCCTTTGATTTGTTTCCGACGGCCGTTAACAGGGAGATTTGTTTGACCGCAATTGTCAATTCGACCACATGGGATTGGAACGGCACT